AAATTATATTAGTCAATTATTTATATTTTATCAAAACATTGCTAATTGTAAGCAATGTAACATTTTGTTAATTTATTTGCCCTACATTTGTAATAACCTATTCGCATACAGCGCGATAACGCTCTATTTTCTAGGTATTCAAATTTATACACCTGTATACTATACATAAATAAAAATGTATGTAATTTTATTTATAATATGTTCAGTTTTAATAGTTATGTATTTTGTAGATAACATTACATGCAGTAAAATATGTCCTAGCAAATAAAATGAAATTGTTAAAAAGGTAATTATTTATTATATTATATTATTTTATTTATCTATTCAAGTTCTTACAAATTAACTCAAACTAAATTATATTGAAACTAATTTTCATTTCATTGACTTCGTTTATTGAAACGAAGTTAATTTCTAATTATAACTTTATTTTTATTTATTTATTTTAATATTTAAAATGTTTAAAAGTGTTAGAACTTTTCCAATAATTTATATTTGTATACTATAAAATATTGATTTGTGGTCCGTGATACTCCGTTGAACCGTCTCTTTTTTTGTGGTAAAAGTCTGTTATTTGTTTTTATTATTAAAGAAATAGGATTTTAGTAATCTTAATCTTTGAACATAATATCAACAAAATGTTAATTGGTATATACCAAACTGTTTGATACTTTAATTAAGATTTATTTAAAAGTAAATTATTAGGCTGAAAATTTTGAAGTTGACCTAACCATAACCACAAAACTGAAAAAGTATAATTTACATCCCCTATAAATTAACATTTAGAATAAAATTATTTAATTACAATATATGTTTAAAAAATTATTATTTCTTTTTATATACCCTGCTATACTATTTTGGGATAAAAAAAACATTTATAATTAGAAATTGTAAGGTATAATGCTGTGCCGGGGTTTGTTGATTATGATCCCCGCCATAATCAACATTAAAATACATAAGTACGTTAATATAATAACATAATAAAAATTAGTTAATTTTTTATTATTTTAAAATTAAAAAGAGTTTGTACAAAACGTAGACAGTTTTGTGGAATGTTGAAATCTACTTTAGACTAATTTTTATTATTACAAATTTGGGTAATTTAATATTCGCACTTAGAACTTTAATTTAGTTGTGTAAGTAGGTATATTAAAAAAAATGTTTGAAATGACGTTCGGAGATGAATCATGATTTAGGATTTCAAACTACTAGATTATTTTAACAAGCTGATGTTCCTTTTATTTTCGGTTTAACTATTTAACTTACTTTTCATAAATACAAATTTAAAATGATGTAATAAACTTTCAAGTACAGCGTAGTTATTGGCGTTTTTTAATTTATATAACATATTTAGATTAGATTAAAATCCCACCACGATTTTTCGTATCGGATTTGTCTGAGGTTTCTGGTTTGATTGTGGGATGTATAAAAAATGTGTACGTCAAAATAAAGATTAATAGTAAAACAGTAAAAAAAAAACAGCAAAACATTTGTGTTATCAGCTCTAATTAGTGATTATAAATAACTTTTATTTAAGTAAACATTCTATAACCAACATGGATAGCGATTGAATACAAACACTTGTTTTTACACTCAAATTCGCATTTAATTAATATTATAAATAATTCTGTTAGACAATACGTGCGTAAATCATTCGACAATCAAACTAATTAACATAATTAATAAATGTAAAATGTATGTTGATTAATTATTAAGTAATCATTCAGGTTTTATAGTTTTATTTGATAAATTATTTTAGACATATTAATTAATGATTTTATACTTCATTTAACACGTTTATTACGTATTACGTCACATTTAAATTTGTGGTTCTTATTAATGAATTAAATGGAATTGAATAACAATCTTTCTTAGAATTTGTAGCAGTTTCTACTTAACACCTCAGTGTTTTATAACTGTTCTTATGAAAAACCTATGACGTATAATTTTTTAGACGATGTAGTTATAGTGAATTAAAATAGAAAAATGTGAGTTAAATTAGTGCAAAAAATAGAGAGTTACAAATTACAATAAGAAAAATAGCTTGAACTTATAAGCCATATGTGCGACGGAACAAGTTGAGTAATGAGGTGGTTTTAGAAAGAGGCTATTTTCTAGCATAACATAATTTATTATAACAAAATGAGTGTGCACCGCGATGCAGTTTTCTTACTTTATGCGGTCACTTGTTATTATCTATAGGAAAATTAACCCAGCTAACTTACAGTTCTTATTCACAGAATAAACCCGAATAAGTAAATCTGCTCATAACTACCTAAATTATGTATGCTGTCAACTAAGTTTGTAATCTAAATAAAATAATCAACGACCTTTACCGCAATACGATAATAACGCACTATAAAATTATAATATGTTTCTGATGTTTGAGTAAAATTTTTACATTTTGACAGTCTGATATATATTTCAACCGACTTTTTAATAACTTTAACATTATTAAATAAGTAACATATTATTATATTCAACAATTGTATTGCTAATTCTTCTTAATTATTTTGAAATTAGAATTTTATTTATTATTCGTGTTTTTCATTCAAGGCTGGACATTACGTTTCATTCTATAGATTAATTTCCCCTTAATAAAAATAATACTGTATTTTCTGACATAGAGTACCACTCTAAATATTATGACTGATTTCCATTTAAAATTATCTCATTTGATCGTTTGAATCAAGTTGTAACTTATCGAGGAACACCATTTGTATCGATAAGGCAAATGAAAAAAACAATTTGACTGTGATAATTAAATTTATCTATTTTTGGTTATACGGACTTGACGAAGAGTCCATAAGTCATTAACGTTCATGGTCTTGTTTGTACTCATTTAAAAATAGGTAGTGGCTCAATTTACAAAGCCCTCAATCAGAGCAAAATCTGAAGAAAATTATTGTTCATTCAAAAAAAAAGTTGGTACATTAGCGTTTATAGCAAACTAATATATTTAATACTTTTATGCTGATGCGTAAACGGTTTATCGTATATTGTTAATTAGATGTTATCAGTTGATAAATAAACATAATTATTTATTATTTGCGCCTATTCTTATCCTATGTCTTAACACATGTCTATACAAATAAAGTGTAAATTTTATTGTAATTTAATATTCCAAGAGTGCCGACCAGTCTGACAGACATAAAAAATAATAAATTATAATAATATATTGTATATTATACAAGAAGGTATGAATTTTCAGCTGTCGGTGAATTATGGATCTTTGTTTTCACTCTTTGCAAATCAATAAAAATAATTATCAATTGCATAACCTTCCTGAGTACTCAACTAAATAAAACTGGTTTACGTTGCGATTGATAAATTATAAAAGACAAGCTGTATGCCGATATATGATATTACGCACAGTTTTTACTATTATTAGTCAAGTTAGAAGCATACTATTCAACACGTGACGTCGATAGAACTTGATAGAATTTTTTTTTTATACATAATAAAAAAACATTAAACATAATTTAAAGACAATTAATAAATTATCATATTTGATGACGCATCTATGATCATCGGTGTGTGTAGAAGATGCGCGTACAATATTTACTGGAATCTAAGACTAGACAAAGAAAAGCTTTGTTATACTATTATGAAACATGTAGCTAAGAATAAACGACTTATACGACTGATTTATAAGCAAATAATAACTTGTGTTACATATAATGATATATTAAAATTCGATATAATATATGTGTATATGTATAGTCGAAGACATACAGTGTAATCAAATTTACGTACTTTAATATATTTTTCTTGAAATAATTGCAATTTTGTAGTTTATCTTTTAAGAGACACTTAGGTTTGTGTTATTTAACAATATTAGAAAACATTCTATTATTTTTTATTTTAGCTTCGGTGCGGAGCTGAGAAGGTATTGTTTTTAAAATGATATGTTTTTTTTTGTGTCTGGACTCACGATATTTCGTAAACCGCTGAACCGATTTTTCATGAAGCAATTATATAGATGAGAAGTCATACCTGGAAGGTACTTAGAGCAGGCCAAAATTTAAAAAAAGTCACCCCTTCCCCATCAAAATCGGGAAAAACACCCAAAAAATTTACAAATTTTTCAACTTAAAATTACGATGCTCTATAACTTTTTTAAAAATAGAACTGTGACCTCTCCGTCCCCACTATGCCCCAACCCCACTGTACTGGCTTTTTTAAAAAAATTCCACAATTGATCGATTTTTATAACTTAAATGGCAACTTATATATTTATAGTTAACTTATTAAATTAAGAATAGTTAACTGAAAACTTCAACTGGTCGAAAACAAGTTTTGAATAATTACTTTAAAAATGATTAAAGTTTAAAATTTAGGACGGGAGGTGGAATGCGTTAGCGATTAGAGTAATGCGCGCAAATAAAAATAACACTACACATCCCCCTTTCCCCCGTCTTAAATTTTTAAACTTAAATAACTTTAAAAGTAATTTTTAGTTTGTCAGGATATACATTTTTCTATACCTGAATATTATTACTAAAAAATTTGTAAATGTTATGACGTGCGTAGTTTTAAGTTAAAAAATATCAATACTTTTTGGATGTTTTTCTCGAGTATGAAGGAAAAACGGTGAACTATTTAAGTTTTTGGCTTATTGAAATACCTTACAGGTACGATTTCTGACCTACAGAATTTTCTACGTACACCTAACAAAAAACACTGGTATATTTGCCATCGTCTAGCCCTGGGTACGCCGCTGGTCATACCGCACTTGGTCACAAAACCCGTAACAACTTGAGCAGCTCCCTTCGGTGTCGTAGCTTTTTCGAAATTGGCTTTAATTTCAATTTGGTAAATTTTGTTTACACAACCGGGTCGAATTTTTTTTTTTTGCGTTCTTGCCGCGTTGACGGGTAATGGGATTTTCGAAATTGAACTGTCGCGGGTAGTAAGTAGTAGGGGTCGGCCGTCGAAGGATCTCTCCTGCCGCCGTCACTGCCGCCTCCGCCGGTAAACACAGTGCCGTGGTAGGTGTATAGCCGTGTACAATGTTGTACTATATTTGATTCTATACCGGGCACAGTCGTCGCGTACGGACCGCAACGCACACACGCACACACCCCGCAAAGCGGCCGCCGCAGCAACAGTACCAGCAACAGATATCAAAAACCGGACATCGAGACACGACACGTGTTCCGCCGGCACGTTAGATCGGTTCCGTTTACCCGGTGACTCGCACTGTTGAACAGTCGAAGTGGACAGTTATTTACAAAATAATACCACGAATTAACTTTGTTCAAAAGTCGCCGTCGACTCGTCACTAAAATACACGTTAATAGTAATCAATTATCGTTGATAAACTAAACAAACAAACAATAGTGGTGTGGTGTGCACGCGTCCAACGATTTAGGGCCGCAGCGATTCGGCTGCTCGACACGACGACCTGCCCAAAATGACAAATCCGCCGGCAACCGTAATCAAGTGAGTGCTGTTTAGGGTTTTTTTTTATTTTTTTCCAAACGTTTATAAAGTGTTAACGCGACAAGGGTAGAGTTGACTAGTTTTGTAAGAACGATAATATTAGTCTTGTTTTTTCACACTGCGATAATTGATTGGCCTATGATATTAGGTTCATCGCATTACTGAATAAAACGTACACGGCTTTGGAATGTTCGTCTTATTATTGTTATTTAATTAATATAGACAAACTGAACGGCATAGGTGCAAATACGAGGGGGCTAAGGTGGGCTTAGCCCCCCAATGCTAGACATAGCCCCACCAAAAAAATTAGGTTATGCATAAAATTTTAAAATACAAAAATATATTTACTTATATATATATTTAAAAAATAAATTCCAGCCCCCCTTTTCATAAAAATTGAAATTGCGCCTACGCTGAACGGTTTATATAACTTTAAAGGTCCCCATAAATATATATACACTGATTACTTGGATTGCCGATATTCTATCTACAATAACCAGAGTCGAACTGATCCCACTTGGCCGTTTCTGTATTTATGTTATAGACAAAAAAATAGTGATTTTTTTTCTTTCAATTTGTCCACCGTCTCTCCAGTTCACCTCAATAAAGTTCTAATGCTTGGTTTAAACGGGACGTGTTGGCACCAACTAAAACTATTTGTTCTGCTCGTTATAAAATAATCTGGCACCACATGAAATGGTTATTAAACATTTGTATTTAACGGCTTGCGATTAACGTTTATGCAACAAGCAATTAAAAGCCTAACGGGTTTTCGATTGCATTCAGTGTGACTGATTTCATTGACTTGCGGTTTCCAACCAATTGATTCCAAAGCCCCGACCTATTTATTTTTTTTAAATAATAGTAATTATGTAGAGGCGAAGTTTTTGTTTATTGCCAAATACGTTTGCGTTGTTTTTAAGATTTATTTTCAAACAACGCTACCTAGACCCTTAAGGTGGCCCAACACTATACTGACATTTTGTCGAACAAATCTGTCTTGTAACTGTTCGTCAGGCGGTGTAATAAATATTGTTACTGCATTCAGGACGGATCGGACCAGTTTCAATAACCAGCATTGCTCTTTCAAAAAAATATACTTTCTCGTGCGAGTATATTTTTTTTTACTCTGGTCAGTTAATAGTACTAGCTAATATCTATCATGTTTATGTGCTATATTAGCGTCGGCGGACAATCCGCTTACATATTTTAAAATTGTAGCAATAACTGTCACGGTCGTATTCAGTGCTGGTTTGGGACATAGCGCGTATCGTGTGGTCCGCATCCATCAATGTCTCGTCCTAAAGTCCAACGTATTGTTGTAATGGATCACTTTGTAAAAAACAAAATAAGTTTTTACTTAAGATGAGAAAACGTTGGCAAGTCAAATGCTTTAGTGGATTTTACTTATAGGTGTTGCTGTGGTGTAGAGTCTCCCGAACAATACTAGCACAGTAAAATAATATAGCAATTTTGTTTGTTTTAACTTCTTGACATTAGCACCTAACAAGAATATCACCGCAATGGTCTTCTTCGGTTAGCAACGCCAACACGTCGCAAGCATGTAGACTGTAGTAATAGACAAAATGCTCTGCGACAATGTATATTGTATAGAAGGAAGCGCGTGTACGTGGCGATGACCGATTATAATTAACTATAATAATTATCATCCATAATGCAAAAATAAACTGCACCAAAATAACCGTTCTGTCAGCAACAGGCGTTTGCGTCGGTTTTACACGATACTAAATTTGTGACCAAAAACGTCAATATTATTGTATCTTAAAAACTAATAATATATATGTATATATTTAATACCTACATATTATTAGGGTTATGACCGCACGCTCAAGATCATTTGGATTTCAACACCAACCCGTTTCCTCGCTGTTCGTTTACTATCGGTCAACTCATTCCGATTAACTTAGTCAAATGCATTTTAAGCAAGTGGGTACGAATTAGGGTCAGACGACACTTGGGTTGTAAAAAAATCGAGTAAATTATAAACGCAAATTTATTACTATTGTTTATAAATAGAAAAAAAAATGTTGTTTGCTTGAGGATTCTACACGTGTACTTTTTAACGAGTCACAATATAAATGAATCGCTAACTACAGAAAGGGGACAAGTCCAATTTTTCTAAGTTTTCAGGAAATACAAAAATCATAGTAAATGATTACTAAGAGGTATCGTCCTTTTCGTTGCAAGTAAGCTTTTGAGCAAACTGTGTTTAATATTTCATGTTTTATAATAACGCGTCGCCCTAAAAAAAACTATAAGTAAGCTGTTTATAGTTGACAAAATTTACAGGAAAGGTGTGGTACCAAAAATTATACTCTTCTTTTTAATTGAAACGCTCTTTTTCTAATCTGGTTTTTATATTGTGTGAAATTATATTATGACAACAAAACAGTAATGCATTGCGCCATACGGGTAATAAATAATAATAAAAAGGAGCGCGCCTCTTTCTCTTAAACATTAACGTACTGGATACGAAAAATGTCTCGGTGAAGAAAAGCCGCATTATAATGATTTTCATATTTTGTCATAATTGACGACGGACACTATAATAAAAAAAAAGTGTTTAACGACAGTATTATCTACACTCGAGGTATTATTCCATTTTATTATTCCCGTACAAGAATACACGGAGAGAAAGTGATAAGAACGGTTCGTGCTTAACGTAGGTAGACATCATATTTAACCAAACATATTTGTATACACATGGATAATTATTATGAAAGTCAGTCGTTTACAGAGAGGAACTGTCTGGTTTAAAATAAACCGTAATGGCGTAATGTCTGTATACGTTAAACGGTTAAAGGATACAAACGGTTTTTGAAACAACTAATAATAATAATGACTGAGCCATGCCGACAATAATATACGTATTCCGGCCATCTAAGAAATTCGGAGTTGCTCATTTTATTTAGATTCCCACAGGTTTTTTGTATTAACAACAACACTGTAAAGTTTGTAGCGTCAGGAGCATGTATTAACGTTTAAACACTACACGCGGGACCATATTATTATTTTGTAATAGTTTATTAAACTGTTTACTAATAAATCTGGTCGATCAGTTATTCGAGAAAGGTCAGCCGACGTTAGTTAATCTCTGATAATATGGCCTTTATCCTTATCGCTTCACGCCTGCGAGCAACGTTATATTTAATTGGATTTACCAGGAATCTCTGTGTATCGTCTGCGATAAGTCATACGCTATTGTTTTGGAATGCTACCTGAATTGTTTACTTCAATTGACGGACAACAAAATTAATTAAAAACCAAAGAAACCCTTGTCGTTACATTTACAATATTACGGTCAATTTTCCTCCGCTACCAAAAGTGAAAGTACAATAATTGTCTCGGTGAGTTCAATAATAAATTACTACTTGGTGATTTTTACAGGTATGTTTATAACCAATAAATATACTAATTTACAATAAAAAAAAAAATGTCATAAACCTATTTCTTATTTTTTTAAACATTACATTATGTAGACATGCAGTACAATTTTAACATGTTAAAAATATTAATTTCGTACATTATAGTGACCAAAATAAAAAGTTTTTAAGTAACATTATAAATTATAGTCGCATACTAATATACTATAAGTTATAACCCACATCAGTTAGTTTAGGTTAGGCTACAAGAAGCTCCTACGCTAGCCGTTGTAAAATTGTTATAATTATAAAAATAGTTATAACTCGTGTGGATTATTATTATAGCCTATAGTCGTTATTGTAAGTTTAGTAGACAATAAATTACTTTGTCGAGCTTACCCGGTGTGTATAAAAAAAAAACCTAGTTTTACTAACATAGACTTGACGTCTAATGTCTATCTCGAGGATGATTTATTAGAGGAAAACGTCCAGGATTGAATATTATCATGTTGCAAATCGGTTTAAGTATACTGAGTTTTTTTTATATTTCTCTTTTTCTTCTCGAGTGGGCTTCGATACACCATTGCATTATCCTGTTGGCGACGAAAGACGATTGGTATTACAAACACAGCGTTCATCCGATCCGTTGACCGAATCGGCCTCATGTAATGAAATTAATTGTTTTTCTGAAATCCGGTTTTGCGTTGGTCGTAAAAAAAAATTTATATTGGCATTTGGAACGATTCCAGAATGAACAGGATTTCCAGTTTTAATAGTTTCTGTTGTGCTGGGCGGAATAAGACCGTCGTAGATTCCTTTATGAACAAATTATTCTTTTATAGACGTTTACACCGAAATAGTCAATTAAATTTTACCCAACGGTTGGGTTGGTCATAGTCAAATCTGCGTTTCTCTATGTAATAATAACAAGTTATGGTGATCAAACACAATTTTCTAACTACGGACTACTAGTCTACAACCACCACCGTCAAAAATTTTCTAAATAATAATATGTATATGTATATATATATATATATATATATTATATAGACTCGATGGTTTATATGTATATTACTCTTCTCTATAGAGCTATTTCGACTTAAATTATTAATACAACACGTTTTTACAACTGCAGGTCAAAACAAATATCTTAAGGTACTTTTAAAAACACAATTTATCATTACAGGCGTCCGACATTTTTCAGGGCCTAATTTCACTGACGCTATTTCCGGTCCACGAGGAATAAAATAATTGGACTTTCGGTACCTTCTTTTTTCTTAACTCAATCATTATGGGAAATTCGATAACCATTAGCTGTTTTGTCCAGAATAACAGACGCCCTTTTTATGTTTCTGAAACAATTAGCAAGTATACCGTTTGGAATGTAAATTCTCAATAAAATTTGATTCTTATTTTAAGTACTCCTTGATATTGTCTCAAAGATGTTTTATTCAATGTATTAAAACCTCCAATAAATTGGCACGTTCTTCACAATACGTGCCTCTTAAATTTAAATGTTTCGTCATGTTATATTATCACTTAAAACCGAATATGTCATATTATATTATATTCTTTAAATGCGTCGTCAATAATGTAGTTATTTTAATTTCACACACA